TTCATTATGCCTACATGGTAGTGAAGGAGGGAGAAATGGGTTTTTTGTGTGTTAAAATTCTAGTGGAGAGTAACACGGTAAGGAACAAGTACCATTCACTGGGCATTTGACCATGTCACCAAGCCACAGGCCAAAAGCAGTCACTATCTCCCAGTCTCAAAACGGGGAATACTGTAGTCAGGCACGCAGTTAAATTCTTTCTCCCTTCCCTGCTCGTAACCAACCCATTTTTCTTTCTGACTGCTGATAGCTATGAAAACTGAACAGTCAGGTATTGGTTGTTCATGCATACACAGGACTTTCTCCTGCCGCCTTAATCGATGAACTGAAGTCATGTCCTATAAGGCTGAACAATCTCCATCTAAGACCCTTTGACGAGCCCCCCTGCTCCCACCAGATGTCAGCAATACTGCACACAGATCGGCTTTTAAAAGCCGTCAGTCGATCGACCAGGCCAAGTTTCTTAAGCATAAAATAATACAGCTCGCAAGATTGCGTTGTACACACATGCCTGCAATGAAATTTACATCAAAGATGTTCTAACTTTGCAACCGCTACCTTCCATGTACGCAGTGTTCGCTCATTCCCGTTACCTTCACCGGCATTAGCACCACTTTCGAGGTGCACGAACTTTTCTATCTGTGCTTGTGCATCGTCACTCAGGATGAGAGCAGATTAAGACGTCCACTCTGGGAACTTTATATATTTAATATATATATATATATATATATTATAGTGTTGTATTGTGATCTGTTTGTCTAACAGAGAATCCCTGGATAATGGTCATGACAAAAGTTATTGTGAATTCTGCGTGCAAAGTTGGTATATCTATCTGTTTATGCATGAAGTAAGACGTAGTGGTCTTTCGTCAGAAACCCTGGAAATAAAGCAACGGAATAACAGATTCAGATTAACAAACCTTGTGAATTCTGCGTGCAAAGTTGGTAAGGATATCTGTTTATGCATGAAGTAAGACGTAGTGGTCTTTCGTCAGAAACCCTGGAAATAAAGCAACGGAATAACAGATTCAGATGTGTTAACAAACCTGAAGATGTGGGTTCAGCATGCATACAAATCCAAAACGATTAGTTCGATTTCCTGGAAGGTGAGCTGGAATTGAGAGGACCATCCAGTGTTAGTTGAGACGGCAGACTTTGGAATCCTAAATTTTTTTAGTCGTAAAAACGAAAATGTCACTGACACATCGTGAAATTCTCTTTTCGGATGAGGAAAAATCGTACTCCCTCGGCGTTCAGAACATGGGGTGACAACGAACCAACGACCTACCCTTGAAAACATTAAGCTCGTCTGTAGATCTATGTGAGCTTCAAGAGCACCAAGCCTATTGCCAAGCACTAAATCACCAGTATGTATGCACTGTATCAAAAGGTCAAGGTCGATCAAATGATTACAGAAAGGTTGAGAAAAGAGTCGTCTACTACGCCTTAGGTTCACGATAACTCACTGTTTTTGCAACACTCAGGTTAGCAGTTTAAAGGCTAGGAAACGATTACCTATCCGGCTAGATCCTACAGCTTGACAGCTGTTTTAACCTGAGCACCACGTTGGCATCTGTGCAGACGGTTGCATCTTGAAACCACGCTGAATGTACTTCTACACTTTGGGATTTCCTTGGTTTACACTCGTAATTTCGACTGTTCCGGACGACGCAAGTAGCACAGTGATAACTCTCAAGGAAACTGGTGTTTTGCCACTCAATAATTTATCTACCGGGAGCATAACCAGGGTGCTTGAACGTATAACACTCTGTCCTTACTTCAAACTAGAATTCCGAACTTTCTGAAAAACGTGTCTCGTATGATGCTCTAAACATATTGTGTCTGGAACAAGCCAAACACTTTTGAGATTAGATAGGAACTTCTGTTGGTTACTGACTCATCTCCTCTACCGTTGAGAATTCAGTACAAAAGCAGTGAATATAAATTGGGGCACACAACGCTACTTGGTTTGTTGAAGAAAACCTAGCAATAATATACACCCTTTCACGATGAATAAACTATCAGAGATAAAAGCTAAAAAACGACGTACGAAAACAATTTGGTATCACAACCTTGATATAGATGCACAAAAGATTTCCCTGGATTAATACAGATTACAAAAATCCGGCTGTTGCTTTTGGAGGCCCTATCCTTCTTACAATCATCATCAGCTGTGAAAACCGTGTACTTGCAGTACGTATGTTATAGCTGTCACAATTTCGTTTACCAGCGATTTGGGGAGGTTGGGTAGATAGCTGCGCATTGGCGGTGGTAGCTGGTACAGGGTTATCAATGGTGTTTTAGTTGGGTAGACTGGGAGTGGAGCTATGCATTGCGGGCTTGATTGCATGAGCACCATTGAGGTCATGACTGGGACATGTTTGACAGTGTCTCTAACTATTGTTGTATCCCATCCAAAGAGACGGCAATTCCTAGTGCAACAGAGCTTGCTGTAACTGCCTTCATAGTTCGCTGCAAAGTCGCTTTCCGACCTCTGGTTTGTTTCCACCCTTCAAATGGTTGCGCAAAAACAGCCTTGGATGTCGGCTCATAGTTCGCTGCAAAGTCGCTTTCCGACCTCTGGTTTGTTTCCACCCTTCAAATGGTTGCGCAAAAACAGCCCTTCGAGGATGTCGGCCGACTGACATACGGAACACATGACCTCTAGAAGCTGTGGTTCAGTGAAGAACATACAAGGATGTGATAATATTCACAGGGTTTTGTATTTGATGGTGAAATTCCCATAGAACATCATCAGTTTGGACCAGATTGTTAAAAGTCTGGCACATTTAACAAACTGGCAGACTCGAAAGCCCTGAGTGTACTTGACAGATTCGAATGTACATATCAAAAGCGTGAATATTCCCGTTTGAGCCGGAGCGCGCAAAAAACTCCCCCAACCGAACTAGGGATTTTCACCACTTTGGCTACTTGACCTCAAAATCGACTGGCGTGTGCATCCTCAACTTCAATCCACAGGTCACATGTTACAGCTTCTCCTCACTCACTACGAACTTGAGTAGGGAAACTGAGTGGATATTTCAAGGCAGGCTCATTCCGTTCCATCGCAAAGGAGCAGTAATGAAAAAGAAACTGAGCATTGTTTAGCCTGCACGGACGTCTAAACAGAACTCCATCTACATTTTCATAAAGGAAACTACTCACAAGGTTGCTGAAAACTCTTCGACTCCATCTACCACATTGGACTCAGCTCCTCTCGGAAAGATAATCTTTTAGTGATGTACATTCACTTTATGGGACACGGACCTGCTGCATACTCTGGAGCTTTTTGGTGCAGTCCGAGAAATTTTCGGCAGGCCGAAATTCCCGGAACTCAGTTTTCACAAAGTTTTGAAAGTAAAAATCTCGCCGACCTAATATCAGTGTGACTTGTGCGGCACATGTCTTAATTCAAGGACAAGCTTCGGTTACAGTCAGCTTTGTTTATCAGCAAAGCTACCTTTGACAGTTGCTGTGTTCCAGTCTCTGCTGGTACCACCGCGTCGCCTGTTGGCTATGTAAACAACCGCCGTTTCCATTAGTTACGTCAACACACGAACAGTGCCCACGTGACCATACTCTGTAAGATACCGGGTTCAACAAGCCAGCAGCTGTCTTATACGAGCGGAACTCTTTGGGAATGATATAAATATATTGAAAGTTCACCGTATTCTTCATAGACATGTTGGTCCCCATTAGAAACCCTCCTTATTAGTATTTCTGCAAGTTCTCGTTTAAATTTGATTGTTTGCAAAGTGGTTACGCAACTCCAGGAAAGCGTAGGGTGTAATCGCTCGTGGCCGATACCAACAAGCGAGAAATCCACTTGTTAGCTTTATCCAATTCGCCCGTAATGGTGGAACAGTATGTCCGAGCCTCAGATGCAAATCGTGGAAGAACAAGTCTAGTTGGGTAATATCCGGTTATTTACGGCCTTGAGGAGTCTCGTAATATTGTACACAGTTTTCCGTAAGCCACTGGCTTTTGTGGAACCTTATTCAAAGAGATTTGCCAGGAAGTTACTAACAATTCCGACCAAGCGACCCCGCGTCTCTGTGGGAGCAAATGATAACAAAAACATAAAGGTCGGCGAACAACTCGACCACCATGACGATGGTTCTCGGGTTATCGTACGGCTGACACATGTGAATTATTCTTTCGCTCCTATTGAGAGCGTCAATTACTGATCAGTGGTAAGCGACGTCGCAGAACCACCAGCATCAGATATGTTAGGGACACTTCAGGAGCTGTCAACGGTTGTGCAGTGGTCTTGGTAGCGTTCCTCTACCTCTCGGGTGTCAGGAGTTGTATGCGAGTGAACAAATAGCACCATAAACCATTCGCCGACCGACCGCTGATTCGTTGCATCTGACTCAAACCGTTTTACTGGAACAAACGGAAAGTTGGCATCATGGTATCGTCCGGCTGTAACATCCTTTCGGTGCTTAGCTTCCTCTGCGTTATTCCCAACCCCACACCGCAATTTCAACTGGTGCTCCGAGTTCCGACACATTCGGCCTTGTCTGTACACTAGTATCCCAAGAAAAGTAGCTCAGAAGAGGGAGCACTCTTCCCAAGAGTCTTCAGTTTTTCCGATTTCAGCCGCGAGTGCGTTTGATGTCCCTTGTTGCGGGTTACTGTCCTACATTCGCCTCACTGTGGCTAATTGGTCCCTATTCTCGCATCTCCTATATAAGTTGTTTTTGTTAGCATGGCAGTGAAGCACGTTGTTTTTCACCGGACGCGGAGAAAACCATATTGGAAACAGGACTATTTGAACTGGCAATCAGTTGTTGAAACGGATTATTCGGACGTTCACTTTATCCAGCCGGATCGTTGGGATCCGGGGTAGGCTGGACTCTAAAGAACCATATCGATGATTAGTTAGCGACTTATTTGTCTGTACAATCCTAAAGTGCTACCTATGAGTATCTGTTTTATCCTTCACAGGACATTTGTTCTCATTTTCTCTCTCTCCCTTTCTGTTGCCGTACCTTTCAGGTGCTGACAAGGAGACTTTGGAAGACACCAAACAACAAGACCCGTCGTCGTGTACACAACCCTACACCGCTGGTTGTATGCTGCGCAAAGGTAGTTCAACTGGCTTAGCCTGTCGATCCCTGCCCACTGTCTATTCGCTGCGACATACCGGTCCTCGGTTGAATCGTGTCAAAGCCCGTATCCAGGCTGCTACGGAAAAACTAATGAGCGCCAGCGAATTCCATGAGAAATTATTAAATTCTGATAATCGGTTACCCAGGCCCCATAAGAGCAATTCCGCCACGACCTCCATTTGTCCCGCACACACCAAGTCACCAAGGAAGTCGTTGAGAAGGAACCCACCTACCAGACGCAATTCAACAACAACTTCGAGGCGAACCACACAGACACGGTCCGTACCAAACTCGCTACCTACCTTAGATCCAACGTGCCTGTCTGGCTCCATGAGTTTGACGGCTACTATCATGAATGGATCTGCCACGGCTCCAAATATATTCGATTCTGTGCTGCTTCCTGTAGACTTTTCGGGGGCACCCGATTCGGACACAATGAGTAGTGGCCTCGGACCTAGCTGCTGTAGTAGTTCACACAGTCCTCCTCACCTAGACCGCGCGTGTTCCACAGAGTCGACCAGTATGCCGAGCCAACTGTCCACCGCAGTGAACACTCCGGACGTTCACAATTCATACTACCTCGGAGATACACCAGATACAATCTCTTGTGCCACGCCGCTTCCACCGTTACAGTTGTCCCCCGAACACCCACCCGGGTTGCAGGCAGTCTCAAGTGAGTAGCTAGATTTTGGTTTCTGTTTGGTGGTCGCTATCATGCCTTGCCTTTTCCATCTATACACGCTCATACCCTCTATCGCTAAATGATAATTCCGTCTGATGTATCCTGGCTCAAGTGCACTCCAACTGGATCGTGACCTTAGCAGGAAGAACAGCCGTGTATCAGCCACGATAGGTTTATACCGCGTGAACTTTGAACTCTTTATCCGAAAACTATTTTTATTTCACAAATATCGGTCTTTGGCAGACTTCACCGGCGTAGTTGTCACTTACTACGTGCGTTGTTTGGATGGCTTCTCGCTCGATGAACTACGGATGCAACAGCAGGAAATTTTTTCACCTGAAAAGATTCAGGAAATGGTTGTCGACCATATAAGAGACGGGTCACCAAGCAATCCGTGGGCCAGTCGATTGTTGTCCCAAATGACCACGGTGGCGTAAAATTGTAACCGCTTGTTTGAGGCGTTGGTGTTTCCGCTGCCGACTATCTGGTTGACTGCAGTGTCACAGGATCAATATAGCCCTATCCTTCCATAGGGCCCGTTTACTCTGTCATACCTCCGGCTTGATGGTCCGTTCATGCAACTGTATCTAGTAGTCCATTGAATAGATATGTCGGCTCCATTTGTTCTACGTATTGCTGGGACTTTCGATCGATCCGGACACATTCATTCACCACACTACTCCAGCTTAGTCAAGATCAGAACAATAAAATAAGCGCTGTCGCGACAACTCCCCTTTAGAGTGAGGTCTAAGAGTACAACTTTCTTTGACCCTGGACTCTGGCTCCTATTAAGCCCGCTCTGGTAAGCAAACCACAGCTCTTGCAAGCAGTGTGCGGCCTGCATTCATCACTGAGCTCCTGTAAGTGTGATCATGCCGCGATAACCTTATCTTTTAACTAGACGGGTATACATGACAAAAACTGCTATCAGTTTCGTCCCAGTGACGCAGAAAATATTTACATCTGTACAGATTGGTCCCCCAAGTCTAAGCTTCAACCTCGCGAACCGGCTAGGTTTTATCATTGTGAGGGTTTGTGTGTGCCTCCTCAACCTACTGGGTTACGCTGAAAGATGTCAACGTGGTGTCTATATAGACTCTTCTACAGTTTGGCCAATGGATAGAAGTCTGACAGCCACAGTATTCTGGTTCGTCCATTCTGGACGTTAGGACGCTTTCATGGGCCACATTGACCGTGGAAGTAATACTTAGTGGATCCACACTATTAAAGCACGATTCACTCACACTCTCCACTAAACGAAGTGTTTAATCACAGGTTTCTTTGTGGATAGTGCGATTGTTATGTACTATCAAGTTCAACTCGTAGCACTGCTGCTGTCGATTAACGTTTCTTCCCAATAATTGTGTGACTTATTCGCTGACTACCATTTTCCTTCTTTGTCGCATTTCTGTTTGACCATTGGTGCTTCTGTTATTGGCCCCGTTCTCTGAGGCAGCACAAATGACTCAGCTCCGTCAGCCATCAGAAGAGTTATGTGGTGACAGAGGGCGTTGTTTATCCGAGTCTCTTATCCAGGTTTAAAGACTAAGCTGGTGAGAGATAGCGGAAGTACTGTTAGATGCAAGGTGACCCCCCATCAACGAACCACGCTGCTTGTTGTTACCTTGGAAATGGGTCTTCCGAGACCACAGCTCTGCACGCTTAATTTAGTATGCAATGGAATATCGGTAGTCGTGTCCTCGGCCTGCTTTATGGGAGTATTTTCGAATACCTTCAATAGAGTGGGTCAGTTCCGTGAGTTGTTGGTGCCGATGCACGACAGTCAGTGGCTGGATGGCAATCCACTGTTGACCGCAGTCATGCCGAACATAGTTTGGAATAATCATCCGGCCTCATGTTTTCGATTAGCCACCCTGGAGGTAATGTCCCTGGATTGCATTTTTTTGTTTCTGAGTATTTGAAATAGCCTCTCTGTCTGGGCCATCCTCACAGACACATCTGATTTTGTTTTCCTCAAATGCTTTACAACCGTCCAGCCCAACCATAGCATATTCAGAGGCCTACTATAAGAATAACCAAACCTAGCCCGGCACGTTGGCTTGGATCTGTTTCACTCTCGCTCGTCTCCTGAGTGTTGTTCCGTTTTTGAAACTATCCTACAGATGAATGTGTGACTCATACTGATTCAGAAGAAGCGTTTTTTGTCTATTCGTTGGTTATTGTAACTCGCTTCTTCCACACGATGATCTTTTGCAGATCACACATCCAACACATCTCCAGCATACAGCGTCGAACCCATTCTTGGACGTTTGTTTGACGAGGCAGCTTCTGTGGGTTCTACTCCTCCTAAACGGCAGTCCAAGCGCCTGACGAATTACGATGCGCGTTTGATAGCGGAAACACAGGTGGTTCCACCAGGCAGTGTTCGTCGCCGCTCTCAACGTTTATCCTTGAGTCTCGAGGAAAATGTTGCGTCACAGCCTGCTACCAAACGTCGTCTAATGATGAATACTTCGTCGGAAACCAGTTGGTTGTCTAGCGAGGATAATGTGCAAGAGTGCAGAAATAGATCTAACTCCAAGCTGACTGGACAACAGATAGTTATGGAAAGATCTTTTAGCAACAACACTGGTTTTAAATTTCAAAAGTTCCCACATCAAGATAATGACGTGACTACTGCACTAAAAGTATTGTGTTCAACACTAGAGTATACATCCCAATGCAATGACCTACTTCAAGAGCGTCCAGAAGATTCTATTGATATTGAGTCAGGACCACCTTCGATTCAGAAGATGAGCAGCTGCCCACCGAGTGTAGACTCTGCTGAGAGCATATCTCCACAATCCCTCTCGAACGCGTCCTCCTCTACCACCCCTCTCCGTTTCGATTCTACGGAAGTCGAGCCATTCCCAGATGTCGTGGACTACCTAGACGCAGATCATGACTACCTCAAACCAATCAGTCCCCCTCGTCTTTCTTACCCTTCTGTTAGTCGTCCGTTAAACAGCACATGTTGCCGCTCCCCTCCTGGTGTACGCTTGGAATCCAGCACTCCACCTCCTCCTACCTTACACCCAGTAACTCCACCTACTTCCTTTGACCATCGACAGACACATCTGACCACGGTCTCCGTGCAATCCCCTCTATGTAAAGCGCGACCCCAGACAACGCTACTCCCAGCAGACGACATGGCCCCTCAGCTGACTTCTTCTGCGCAACCACAGTGGACTCCAACGCGCTTTCCAATCCCGCCACCGAACACCATATGGACCAGTCCAGTTACCATTATCAATGATCCCAAACTGACCTTGACCCGACGAATCACTGTAACACTCAAACGCATCGGCCCAAAACACTACCAAATTTCTCAACCTCTGAGAAACAGTAGCAGCAGGCTTAACACCAGCACTGGTGGTGCGTTCACAGTCCTTCAATGACTCATTTGTATGCACTATACGTTGTACATAGTAGATTCGGTCGATTGTCTTATCTCTCTCTCTCTATCCCGTGTATGGCTAATGCTTCTCAGATTGGCGCGCACACTGTTTGAGTCAATTTGTTTTGCACTCACCTTCCGCCCTATAATCAGACTCAGCGACCAAATAGTACTTCGGAACATAATCTACCAGAGTGACTTTAGCTTCCCTTTCTCTGTGTCTCCTCGTTATTTGTCGCTGTTGTTGTTTTTCTCTTCTTCGGCGGATCCTCATGCGTCTTGTTCGACCGTATTTCAATTGAATAGCATTTATGACAATGTATGAGAGTTCTTTTTGGTTCAGTAGCGTCTTTTGTTAGGACCTTATTGCATGGTTCAGCGTCCCTTTCTAAAGACCACCGAAAGAGATTTTTGTAAGGGACCTTACTCAGCTTTAAGAAACCGACCAAACCTGATCGATCCGGACAAGTGCACATAGACCTTGATTCGCAGTCTTGTTAGTCCAAATGTCGTTCAGCTGATTAACCGGTGCGCCTCCACGACTGAGGCCTTTGTTTTGGTTGCAGTCTGTAAATAATAACCATGGTATCACTGTGTAAAGTAAGTACAACTCGTGAAGCAATACGGACCACAATGCAGTGTTACCGACCCGGCCCACTGGTGGAGTAATGATGCGTTGTTCAACTGCGGTCTTAGTGACGTGGCTTGCATACACTTTGCTAAGGTTTGAGATGCTCGACCTAACTAGGGAAGCACCTTTGCACATCCTGTCGACTCATCCCTCCCTTGCTCCGTAAAGGAATACGAAAGGATTGGGAGTGATTTCATTCTGTCACAGGCAGCTGGTTACTGGCGTTTTCTGTTTCTTATTTCCTTGTCTTGGGTGTACTAGTGCGCAAGGCTATTCGAGCAGCTATCGTTGAATCACATAGATTTGCGCGCACCCGCACACTGGTGATGCTCCCTCGCATGGTGACAGAACATTTGCAAGCCAACTGATAAGCTTGGTGAACAGATCGACTGCCACCCGACCAACAATCAGTTAAGACATCCGAGCTACCTATATTTTTGGGCACATTGCCAGCAGTTTCTTTTGTCTGACGTGGATGAGAGATGAATTGACTCAAGGTACGTCCGGAGCGGTTGCAGTACATGAACGTAGGTCGTTAGCAAGGCCGATCATCACTCTATCCAGTTATTGTTCCATCGTCTCATCCCTTAATTGACGCGGAGATCCCGAGGGGCCCTTCATCAGAGTAGGACAACGGTAATCGTAAATGGATATATTGCATATGAACAGTCGCGAGAGTTACGGACAAAAATTATCCGAAACCCGTAACTTCAGATGAGTACTCGACTAATTCGTCTGCTCAGAGAGAGATGGGTCAGTGGTTAGATCGTGAATTGACTGACCGGAAGGTTTATGTTTCGAATCCGACCTCTGCCTCTCGACTTTTCCTATCTCTAGGCTTGGGCAACCTGGCAGTATCCCAGCCCTCGTGCTTTCTTTGGGTGACATAGAAGCTAGCCACCGGAAGGGTGTTACAGCTGAGCGATTGTCTGAGTCTCACAGGTTGCATGGGCATTTCATCAGAGCGGTTGCTCCAGGAGTCAGCCAGAATGTTACCACGTGATGTGAATTGCGTGAGTGGAGAATAAGCGGTACTGTATCCTAAGTGTGGGTTAATCACGTTGCTGATCAACCACTTGAAGACGAACAGTGCGATCCTCAAATACCAACAGGTTCGGATGTACCGCGATCTGTGCACTACTGATGATCCCCAGCAGCTGTACAGTGCGTCTTGGCTTTCTAACATATATTGACTTCAATTACGGGATAAAATCTGGACCAAACTGTCGAAATATTGTAATCTGGTCACAATTATGACCGAGTACTTCCACTGAAGAATGTGTCTAGCACCAGAAGCCGCGTTGGTTGGGATATGTGCTGCGTATGCCGAACCATCGTCCACCGAAGAGAATGCTGTTTCTCATGCCCAACTCGGAGTGGCGGAAGCAGAGAGATGGCCAACGCTTGAACTGGCAAAAGGGTATGAAGGAGATTACAAAATGTTCGGGTGCTGTCGGTGCTAATCGTCCTCCAGGATGGGGACCGCGTGATCCCCACTGCGCCTGGTCGGAGACACCGCAAGATATGGCTACCAACCGATGTCAGTGGCGTTCTTGTTGTCAGTTTCTATCCAGATTTCCTGACTGAGTGTCTGGAGGTGTAGACACCTCAGAATGATTGTAGTAAGCTGGTACTAAGTTCCTTCCCCGTCCATCACTATTCTTCGCAATGAGCCTTTCAAATAAATCATGGTTGTACGGCAGCGAAGCATTGCTGTTGAACACTGATCTCATTGTGTCGATGATGACGATATTCAGTTTATGATCAACACTGTCCAAGCAGTCATCTAGAATAGTTGAAGACGTGCATAGCATTGTGGAATTCGCAGAATTCGCTGGCGATCGTACCCGACTGTAATGCCACTTCGTCACTTGGTAATAACAATAGCGACCTCGATTATCGCTGTTCACGGTACCCACTGTAACCAAGCAAACAAAAATCGTGTACTCAGACAAGTTTATTTTTCCTGGAATGTCATCAAGCTCAGGAAATCCTTCAAATGCACCTTGTATTACAGTAAATCAGAAACGTGATGTCTCTGAGATGAGGATAGGGGACTAGTTGATGCAGGCAGATGCACCCTGGGAGAAAATGAAAAAAATCAGCGAGGAAATGGGTAAAAACATGAGATAGGAAACGGGGTTAAATGAATTTTCACAGCAACTCAAACGACCCATGGTGGTTTGAAACTTTATGACCAATCTGAGGAATGTTCATCGGTTTAATCGGTGGTTAGGAAAATGCGCACACAGTATGACGTTGATATTTTATCGGAACGGTCTCCTCGCCCCTGCACCACTCACGCATGCCGAATGTCTGGCAGACGAGACCGTGCTTCGGGCATAACCTGAACGGATGGAGCGTCCTGAGAGAAGAAACAAAGGAGCAGATTGAAACTGGCAATTGACCACAATATTTGTCAAAGAATGCATACAAAACGTAAGAATTAGATTGGGTTGCGCGCCAACACGCGGATTCGAACATAAATCTCGCCGCGTAATTCAATCTGTTATTTCACGCCATAAAGCGGGCTTCAAGCATAAAAAGCCTGTCAGTCATATGCTTCGATTGATTGTCCGCACCTGAGGTTATATCGTAGCAAGACATCTAGCAGATACACGGCAAGATGAATTCACGTGCGTTGCTAAGCAAGAAGCCCATTTCAGTTGGCTTTTCGAACACTGGCACAAGCTGAACTCGGCTATGTAGACAAACTGACTAGTCCAGCTGTTGCATCGAGGTGGTGAAACTCGTGCTGCCATGGCACCCGAGGGAAGTACGAGGGCTACCCGAAGGAAGTACGAGAGCTGAGATACTTCCCTGTTGCCCAAGTCTAAACAGGATCAGTGGAGATGCCTGGGTTGGGTTCGAACCACTGATTTTTTGGTCAGTGAACTTACTCTTTAACCACTGAGCCATCTTGAGCTAAGCCTGCTCACCAAATTCGCTAGAAATGCGCCACCGGAGCCTTGTTATTTTAACGTAGTCGACATCGCACATTAATGTCTCTGGAAGCAAGTATTTTCTTGGATTCTTCTCATAAAGCTTATAGAACTCTAGATAGCCGACTACCGGTTCAACTCTTCTTGGGGCTTGTCGCGTAAACAAAATCCCCAAACTGGACGTATGCCGTCATAAACAATCATTTGCAAAGTAAATTGGCGTTGAAGGACGAATTTCATTCGAATCTCCCGTTGATCACATTCTTCTACTATAAGTGCAACGCAAAGGCTAACTCATGTTTCTATTGGTATGAAGTGCAAGACATCGAAGCCTACTGCTTCACACGGCACTACCCATAGGGTCGATGAAAATTCTGGTGAGCCAATTACGGGTTTTGTCATGTTTGTTCAACAGGTGACCACCGAATAAATTTGCAGATGAGTGTTTACCGCAACGTGAAATCTGGTGTTCAAGTAGGAAATAGGATTGATGAAAATCTGGAAACTGGCCGCACCTAGTGAGTCTCAGGAAGAGCGAAACGGGTGGTGGGCTGTTCAAAGTTTTCGTCGACCTCACGAAAGTTGGGCCTTCAGTTTTGGAATTGTAGCTCTTCACCGGTGGCTCATAGCTACGTGATCCGACTGGGTCTGCAGTTGATTTACAGTTGCTAGTCACCAGGCTACGCGATGCAAACGTTTACACTGAAAGTTCGTACTGGCCAGAAACATTTCATGATCAGCACACAGCGGAAGGACTCACTCTCCGTTGTCTGTGCGACGAGGTCGAGTCCGAATCGACCGCCAAGGAAGTCAAACGACCGACCTAATAATGACCACTAAGTGCGGCGCGTACTGCTGGCAACTCCGATGGTAATAGCGGTTGTTGTCATTGGCGAGTACATCTACTGAAAGTGATTAATAGTCAGAAAAACGTGGAAACAAATGTACGAGCAGACTGAAAAGTAGTGAAGGAAGGATTAAACAAAGTTGAGATGGAATTATTTCAATGAACCTACCGTCGTCTAATTCTTGTTCCAACGAGAGCGTCAATTTCATAATGTCCTCGGCCAGGAATCCTTCTCCACCATCTGGAGTATCCCGACTACCAAGCTGACAATACAAAGTGGGTGTGGTAGTTCGAGGTGGTTTTGTCGTAACCGAGTATCCGAGACTGTTGTGTGAAAGACTAGGACCCGATAGAAGACTGCGATTGATTCCATTTCCACCGGATCGATCACGCTTCTTCGGTCTCAGGACTTCTTTGATTGAATCAGGCATCTCGCCAATAATCAGGCCTTGTGGGAAGTGTTTCCAAGCCAGCTGTCGAAAAATTGGGTCAACGTGTGGATTATTGTAGTTTCAATTGATGAGGTTTCCTGATTAAAATGATGGTTCATGAAGTGTCAGTTGGTATAAAGCTAAATGACTGGGTGGATGCCCCGGTGACTCGGCCGCTGGCATCGGCGTTTATCTAAAGATGCCAGGAGAGGCCACATTTGATCAGCAAAAGACGGAAAGGAGCCGTTCATCGTGGACAGCCAACAGTTTCCTTCCCCGTCAACCATAACCTAGAATCTGGTCTCCCCTCCCGTTATTGTTCTTCTTGGGAGATCGATACGAAGCACCAAACTGGATTGCTCTGAGGACCGTCTATTTCCACACCATTCACTTCGCCATCAACATTAGACCATCTTATAACGTTTTCACAGTTAACATTCTTCGCGGCGACCATCCTTATGCAGTAGCCCTTAATGCTAAGAATCCTACCAAATGTATCCGGGAAAAATGGGATTCCCAAGGGTTCAGGTGGCAATAACCAGAGAGGAATTTGTCTTCGCTTAGTGGTACACAATTGTACTTACATAAAATTCCAGGAGGTAAATGCCACGCCAATTTGATTTTAATCCACGCTGTCATAAACCACGCCGCAGCGTCCACCCTCTGGACCAATCAGCAGTCAGTGGACGTTGCAGAAGGGTGTGACTGTTGTCATAATCACATAGCAGTCAACCAACTGTTGCAAGCGAGATAAAAATCCATACAGAGTTCTGAAACTTGTCAAGCGAAGATTGGCGTTTTTATGCCATTGAGTGGGCAGAAGCGTTGTGATAGAACATGGATGAGCATGTGGCGACTCGTATTTTCTGACACCCAAGCATCCAAGCAAATACTACAAGGCGACTCCACAAATTCCGTAACAGATCTCACTTTGCGAGTGACGGAAAGCGGATTTACGAGAAAACATACTACTCGCATACCCTCCCATCAGTAGTATCACAGCTGCACCAGGTCATACAGTACAAGCTAAAACGCACACCTTCACCAAGTGTTCTGTCAATGGTAGAGACATTTCTACAATGACTTGATGTTCACAGTGGATGGAAATGAACATCAGATGGTACTTATTATAACGAGGGACTCGGCTGATATACATTCGAGTCTTCTGTTACTACCAAGTTAGCTTTCATTGAGTGCAGTGTTCAAGCAAGAAATCAGGCGGATGGACGCTCGGCTATATCTGCGCAACGAGTTCACTGGAGGGCAAAACTGGTTGTAGGCTGTCGAACAGCTTTCATCGGTCTTATGAGTAGTGATGTGTCAACGAAAACCAAGTTGATAATATTCGTGACAATTTAGGAAGGGTGGGAGTTGGTGCACATACAAACACAGGCACCACCATCGGAAAGACAACCGAAGGAAGCGACCTCCTAGGTGAGAAACCGCCAAACGCCAAGTTTCAATCCGAACGGCTCCATTGAGTGCTCTATATTGGGGTCAATAAACGTGTGCTAAAGTTTCAAATGGTCCTACTAAGAAGAAATCATTTTTGCGAAGGACTTTGTCCAACTGCCAGCGCTTCCGTCTAATCACCTCACTTTGTTCTGATGCGAATATGTCCCTGAAAATAATTCGATGTGTTTGTCCTCCAAAAATGAACCGAGAGCGTTATTCGACCACATGGATACTCAAAGCAGCGCAGCGTTACACGTAGCTACTATGAAACTCGAAAGAAGCCTCATGGTTGGTTGCGCGAGTCCATATACGGGAAACTAGAAAGTCAGACTGGACTCGAACCATGGACCTACCAGTCAGTAGTTGGCAATATCTCGAGTACCTCTGGTGAAGACACGCATACTTAGCTGCCAGGATTCAAGAAAACATTACGGTTCTGTTCGGTTCTGTTTCGAATAAAGAACAACTTGTAACCACCAGTTGAGGAACTCTCAGTGTTATGCGCACGATATCGAAAGATGACGATGTACTAAGAACATCTGAGTCTAGAAAAGCGAGTCGCCTCAGTTACAGCGACTATTTAATCTCCTAAACGTAAGAAATCCTTCAGTTGGAAAAAGCTGAACTAACAAGCTAGCCGATATTTGTGTGGCGAGTTGTGTTGATCTTCAGTTTACCGATGTCGAGTGGCGCCGTGACTAGATCAGCTGACAAAAATCCCGTCCGGTGAACGAGAGGTCTCGGGTTCAGTTCTCATCTTAGATAGGTGCATTTCGTTCATGATAGGTAAGTCTGGATTTATAAGTTCAACAAATGTATCAGTAAATTTGATCGGTAATCCTCCAGCCACTAATTCCCTGATTAGACTTCTGTAGATGAGCACACAAAAGTATACCTACCTTCAAACCACCAGAGAGCAAAAAGATGTTACAATAGCCCCGTTGGACCAGTGTTGTAGCTGCCCTCGGAGCCAAGCGCTCGTCCTCATCATAGACAATAATTATCCTTCCAGGTTTGTTGCGGAATGCAAGCATATCGGCGGTTTCAAAATTCACACTGCGAGACAGCATTGCGATCGGATAACTCTGAGCTGTGAAGGCAGATGTGAACAAAACGTAAACCTTAAGGTTCTTCACCAAACAAGCATTGCGATCGGATAACTCTGAGCTGTGGAGGCAAATGTGAACAAGACGTAAACCTTAAGATTCTTCACCAGACAACCGAAGCTCATCTAGCACTGCGTCTTCACTTGGGTAGACTGACTGCGTCTTCGCCTGGATAGCCAAATAAGAGAAGAAAAGGGTAGTTGTAGCCAAATTTAAGCATCCTGGATTGCACACAAATCAGCTACGAACTCAGTCAAACGCAGTACAATACTTGAATTAGAGAACGCAGTTAAAGGAAACCTTTCATTGAGTTGGAGAACGACGGGAATAACCCTAGTGTAAACAGTTTCCAGGTGTATTTTCCAAAAGGAAGCACACGAAAATTTACGTCCCGGAGGATAACTCGCAACTATGGCACGCAGAAACGTTCCCGAATAAGGCTTCACAACAGTCAGACAATACACAGCCCGGTGTCTCGACGGTGCTGTTGTGTCTCGGCCAGCAACCGACGATGAGTGACTGCAATATAAAGTGCAAGAGTGCAATGAAGCATCGGAACTCAGTCTTCTATATTTTACTCCGTACACTCTCAGTTAAGATCAGATCAACAACCAAGTGCGTCACACTTTTGTGGCGTTGGCTCTAGGTGAGTTTTCTAGACAAAGCCTCCAAAACTGTTGACTTACAGGTTAGACATCTGACTCAGAAACTAAGTCCGTAATAAGCCCACAGTTCCCCACCTGCATTGTAAGTGAAACTTGCAGGGCAAAAGTTGGAAATCAGATCCCACATAAACCCTCCCTTCTTCTGCCTTTGGAAATCAGGAGTTTTCGGCCATGTAGCTTGTTTTCCACAGTTCCACAGCTAAAACCCACCTTCACCCTTCAGAGGAGCACTTAGGGGTGAACCCATTCTGCCTTTGGAAATCAGGAGTTTTCGGCCATGTAGCTTGTTTTCCACAGTTCCACAGCTAAAACCCACCTTCACCCTTCAGAGGAGCACTTGGGGGTGAACCCAGATGTTTCACATCTCATTCCCAGGCCATGTGGCGATTCCGAAGCATTGACACGTAGTATCTATGGTGTGTGAGTTGCACTCACTCACAGAGTTGATAGCACTTAACTGAACTGGGATACAGTAAATAGTCAACATGATGGTACGACCAGTAAGCATCGTAGGTTTCTTAGCATCGACCTAAACTGGACCGATAAACCAAATAGCACACAGACGATTATATACAACAAGTCAACCAACTAAAGCGCTTAACTGAGGATTTCGAAGTCCGGACGTGCCGATGGTTAGTGACAGACATGGTTTAAGCACATGCCCAGTGGTGCACATGCACTAAGCCCATTGCATCCCATACGTACCTGTCCAGATTTGGCTTGTGTGATTGATCCCGAGCGACCATTCTTAAATGGACAAGGTAGACCATTACCTGTAGTGCGCGCCTATACTTCCGCCACTTTTACTCGCCAGTGAGCGAGATTTTAACACCGTGAAACAGCGCACTTTGGTGTGGGGTTCACAGCTGACAAACTGAACCGAAATGAACTGAGTTTAAGTCGAATTCATCGGCTGAGCAAACTAGTCGATGGATGCGTGGTCCTGCTGGAGAGAACTGGAAGTTATTAATCAAAGCGTCACGTATCTGATTCTTTCGATGAGTTTTAATAGGGACGGAAGCAGTCGTTCAGGTGAGTTTTTCTGGAACCAAACGATGGGTTCACTGAGTTTCTCCGGAACTTCATTCATTTCCTTGGATTTGTAGAATAAAAACTTCACTTCGACAGAAGTAGCTGGCATCTACTTGATAGCAAGAGTTCTGAAGATCCAGCAGCGCCCGATTCGTCGCGACAATATTGGCAGCGTCGGGCCGAAATGGAACGTGCACACTAGGACAGCTATGATCGGGTCCCAGAGAAACTTCGCCAAACGAAGATTGTCATACTCACAGAAATCGTTCACATGGTGGGTTGTTGACGAGCTGTAATGCTAATCTTGAGATACCACTCACAATCATGGTAACAGAGAATTTGAATCAGAACTGGCAAGTGTTGAGCAACTCGGCCACGTAGCTTAACTGTACGTAAACAATCAGGTAATTCATCGTGGCGAACTATCGATCCATACTGAGGACATGATAATTACCAAGCCGAGCCTGAACATAATTAAGAACCTCGCCCACCCTAAGTGAAACTCATTTGGTTGCTTCCTAATTAAAATTTCATAGAACTCTAGGCTCTATGCACAGTAATTGTAGTTGTCCCAAATGTGATTGGTCATCTTTTCAAAGGATATGGGTAAGAGGACTGGTTTCGCTCAGGATATTAGGGACCAGGTGGAATAAATAAAGGGACTACTCATGGGTAGTCGTACTCTCCAAAAAAAGGGCACTTGAACTTTGGCACAACCCTCAACAGCTCTGCGTGTATGAACCTCTGATACATCCTGCTGTACAACTGTACTTTTTTAACAATCAACTACTCAACTGCGTGACTGAACCACAGAAACACTATGATTGAGGTCAGAGGACCCATCATCGGGCTGGAATAACACTTGTAGTTCCCGGATAAGGGCTTCAGCTACTACCGCAAGAAGTTGGACGTTGGACGTAATACACTACTCATAAGGTTGCTGAAAACTCTAGGACAATCCAAGACCGATTTCGCCCTTTTTGAGGCTCATCAGGTAGGCGCAGTCTCTGAGTTTCCGCCAAACTTATGTCCTACGTCCAACTATATTGCCCAAGTTTTGGCAAACACACTCATTTGCAAAGCAGTTTGGTTTTGACGGGAGATTCACCTGGAACCCAGCTGAGTCTCTCGTTTGTGAGAACTTCAAGCAGCTGAATGTGCTGCACCAGACCGCCTCATTTTTTATTTGGTACGATATTCAAGATATCGTGATACATGGTATGGACGTAAAGCACTACTCATAAGATTGAATAGCGTCCAGAGCTGAGTGGGATGGGGGTGAATCACGAGATTACAAAAAGTGGTCCTTTGCTAACATTAATCATAAGGTGTAACACTATTTTTGCCCTTTTCGGGGCTCATCGGTTGGGCCCAGTCCCCAAATTTCCATGGGCAAAATTTCGCATTTGAGCATCTTTTGACTAGTCCACTATATCTCCTGGTGAAAATCCGGATGACGTTTCTGGAGTGAAGTCTCAGTAAATCTTGCAACTACTTGCATGCAGTCAGCAACACATGGCGGACTGATGTGCTATTCTCTAGCCAACGATTCATTCGACTACGCAAACATCCTAGATCAAGAAGTTATCCGAAACTACTACATCTATGGTACAGTAGAAACGTTGTCTAGCTGATCTCACCTGTGATGATGTGACAAGCATCGAATTCCTCTCGTTCCCTCAAATCCAACAGAAGATACGGCAATTCCAAATCCAATCCTCCTTCACCGGTCGGTTTCGCCAAATCCTCTTCTCGTTTCACATTCATCCGGGTCTCGAATTCACCGATTCCACATACTAGACTGAACAGTCGCAGAAAATAACGGACGGTTTATTGAAGCATAGTGTGCAAGTTTCAGCGTTCTTGTTTGGCTGTCTGATAAGCCTTCACTACAATTCACAAATTGTTCTAGGCAGTATTGGACAAAAAGCAATACTAAAGTGAGAATCCCCCTCTTTCATTATCGAACGAACCATATTGCAATCCATCATCAGAGCAACAAGACCGTCTATTCGCAGCAAAAAACACTTAATTTATATGATAAATTCTGGTAAAAATGACCGATGACATGTGACTTATCCGATACATCGCTGTGGGGAGTGGTGGGAGTCAACCACTTCAATGGACAAGCGTGGCAACGATTCTGAACCACAGGCAGCACCCTCTGGTGCTTAGCTGCTTTCACTGCGATCAGAGGGTGCTGCTGTGGTTCAGAATCGTTCCCACGCTCGAGGTGATTAGAAAGGGGGCATTTGGTTGTGCTGCAGGCACCTCAATCTGGGAAAACATCCAGCATCATCGACTACGATGGCTCGGTCATGTGCTACGCACGCCGAAACACCGTCTACCGAGACGATTGTTGTTTTCCGTGCCTCCTTCAGGATGG